CTCATGGCCTTTCGCAAAGCTATTAAAACCTGGCTTTTCCGGCAGGCCTGGGGCTGGTGAACTCTGGATTGAGGTCCGGCCCCTCTCTGATTGGGTGTATGTTGTGCTTTGCCCCACCTTACCAGAAAAAGGATAAACCCCCCACCTTTCAACAGAAATGTGCAGGAGAGAACAGTTGTGTAAGGAAAAATCATCATGCTTTGGGTTCTACTAACACTTCCACGAGTAGAAAATTTGGTATTGAATTTTCTTCTTCACTTTTCAAATAACTTCCATGCTATTTTGCTGCAACAGGTTAAACACTGAAAACTATGGAGAGAAGAGTCTCTCGGCAACCCTCAGTTTTATTTTACCATCCCGCAGATATTCTTAATATTGCAGGGCCAAGAAGACAGGTAGCAGTTATCAACCAATCATAGTTCATTGTGTTGCGTGACCCTGGACAAATCTTGGCTAATGGTAACTAATGGTGATTCTGGCAAGCAAACCAAATTCATATCACGGTTGGTGATTCTGCTTGTTAGGTTTGATTTGATTTGTCAGGCTAATCACCATTTCGGGTTCACATATAAAAAGGAAATTACTTTTTGTTCGAAATGCTAATCCAGAACGTACCTTTTAAATCACTGAAACCCTCTGGATTTCAGTCAACACAAAGGAGTACTTTGTGAAGAAGATAGCAAAAAGAGTGCTTTAATTATTATAATGATAGTTTAAGGCCTCATCCGTAATTCCTGCTATTGTGGTTTAATGCTACTGACAGGAGGGCACTTGAGATTATTAAAAAAAAAAAGCTTCAGTAGCTCTGGATATAAAGGCTTTTAGAAGAAAGTTTGCTGAGATTTTCCAACAGAGCTATTCATTGCTGTTCTATTCTTTTAAAACTGCATAAACAAAAGATCAATTCCAAGTTGTTTACTGCCAAATTCCTTCCTGGGTTTTGGATATAATTTTATCAGAAACTTCTAATACCAGAATCCTGTTGAAAAACGGCTTTCCTGAAAGAAAAATTGTATATATTGTATTTCTGACTGGACTTTTACAAACCTACCACAGCCATCACAAAAAACATAAAGATTAAGCATCATCCTAGTTGCTTAAAAGCTGTTAGAGATGTTTAAAAAAAATTACCTTAAAAACAAACAGTGGAAACGAAATCTTTTTTATTCCTGGTAAAAAATGTGTTTTGCGTTTGGTGGTAGAATTCAGTATATATGTTCTAGTATTTAACATCTTTAAAGTATTAGTTTCCTAAGCTCACTTTGAGCCAGAAAGGGGAAAAAGAGCTGAAGTTTGACTTGGAGCTGTTATGCCTTTCATATGTAGAAAAATGCTTTTCAGAAATACTGTACAATCTCATATAGAGATACGTTTTTAAAACTTAATCGAATTAGTTTTATTTTTACTCTCTTTGGCTTTCTTGACATTTAGCTAATTGTAAAGGGGTTTATTTGCTCACTGATTGCACCATTTGGTTCGTGTATGAAATGTGTTTGAATGAGTTTATAGAATATGTTGAAATGGTAAGAGAAGGGTCCTTGAAAAATATAGCCCTTAATTAAATTATAGGAGTAATCTCCTTTCAGTTATTGTTTTTTAAAAAAAACAAACAGGTTTAAAAATGGACCAGAAACAAATTGTTGTAATGTATTTTTACCCACCAACAGGAATGGACTTGTTCAAAATTTTAACTTGCTCTCTAATGATTAATTTTGGGTGATTTGGCTGTAATTTGGTGTAATGATAAATCTAATTTATGGTTATGCTCATTGTAGCTGATTTTTCCTTCCTGCACTGAACACCCTTCTAACAATCACTTGCTTGTTTTTCATGCCTCATGTCATTTATCTACCTGTTGCTGTTTGAATGAACATCTGAATCAAATATGAAAATATGCCTGCAGCCCAAAGCAATTACTTTGGTGGATAACAATTTATGAATAAGGATGACACATTGGTGAATTAGTCTTATAACAGTGGTTTTTTTACCTGTGTTCTCTGATTTTGTAATTTGCTTTGCTGCTGTTGCTCCGTACTTGTTGCTCTTGGAAATAGTCATGAGTAACACAATCCCACTTCCAAGGATTTTGTAGTTAAAAGCAATACTGATATAGCAGAAGGAAGAAGGATGAGATGAGGGCTGGTGGAGAAAACAATAGTAGAAGACTTTGCATATCTTTTAATATTGGCTATGTTATTTGTTGTTGGTTTTATTTATTTCTTAAGCTTCTGCCTTGCATTTGTGAAGGTATCTTCACTATATTCTCTCCCTCTCCCTCCCTCCCTCCCTCCCTCCCCCTCTCCCTGTGTGTGTGTGTGTGTAAAAATTTATCTGTAGACAGCTTCAAGAAAATGTTGATCATTGAATTTGGTACTCAACAAATTTTGATGCAAATTTTTTGTCTTCGTACTCATCTTTTGTTTGGTACTCAACGCACAAGCTAGAACTTGTTGGTGTTGACCACCTTGTGATTAACTACATTATTCCTTATGGGGAAAATTTATTTGGTACTCGTTGTGCTTCCCAGAACCAATTAATGATGAATACCGAGTTACCAATGTAGTAATTTATAATCCAGCTATGCTACGCACAATAAAAAGGAACTGTATTGTTAAAATGTTATTTTATCCTACCCTGCTGATAGGGTTAATAAAAATCCCTTTAGTATGACCCTAGAGAGAAGTTACACGTAGCTTTAATTAGGAACTGATTTTTCAGTCATTACCCAAATCCTGATGCTCCCTCATATCTGGAATTTAGGGATTAAACTACACTGAACTACACTGTTATGACCATATCTGTCAATTCTACTCCCTATTTTTAAAAACTCCCTTGATTGGCAAAGATGCAGAATGCTAATATTTAAACCACGATACTTCCTGAATCTCTCTATTCCTGTAAAAGGAGAATGTTTTAAATGTTCCTCTAGCTTGAAATATGCATGTCTTTCTCCATTGTACTATCGGTTGCCTGTTCAGGAATTATCTTGTTTTGCCCTGAAGAAAATTTGGGGATACGTAGCGGCTCTTTCCAGGGGAATGGTTTTCTATTACAAATAAACTCACTTGACATGTTATGTTTCCTAGGAAGCCACAAATAAACATTTTTAATGGATATACAGTGGAAGACAATGAAATTTGCTCCCATCAGCCAAATGGAATTGATTTTGAATAGCAGGGTGTATGTTTAAAATATGAAAGGACGTATATATAGCAAGTATATATTAAATTATTTCTGACATCCACTCAGTCATTTATTTATTTATCAAACTACTCGGTCTGGCTCCATAATAGTTTTGGATAGCATACAGGATTAAAAACAGGGGAAGGTATTATAACTAGTGAGAGAACAATAGACATCCAGGAGGAGCAATAAAATTGTAATGTGTTTCTTTCTCAAAGGGACCTAATATATATTCCCTAACCCAGGCCTGGTGGGGGTGGCAGTGTGTGGGGGGGAGAGCTGGATTTTAAGGCTCAATTAAACAAGGTCAGGATAAAGACTAATGTGAATTTCTGCAGGTATAAGCACTTTTTGTCATGGTTGATAAAAAGTACTCACACACCCTTGAGAGATTCTACTACAGAGGTAGTTTATTGTATGCATATATAAATAGGCATAGAAATCCCTTTATCCTTATTTGCGATCTCTCTCTCTCTTGAGAAGAGGGGGCTGACATACTGTAAACTCATTGAATTCATAGTTTCCACACTGCCAATAAAAAGTCTGTTGCTACCCTCCTCCTCATTATGATTTCATTTCTCAAGTACCCTGTTGCTACAGCTGTATTTAAATGAAACGTAGTCATTTCTATCACCGCGAAATAAAGATTTCAGCCACGAGGGCACCCCTTCAGCCCTCAAGCAACAGCCGAGGGCACGCCTTAAGAAGTAGAAGGGAACTGTGATTCACCCAGAATTTTATCCCCCAGGTTTAGTTTTTGTCATCAATTTCTTTTCCTCCCTCTCAGCCAGCCAGCCATCTTCCATCTCATAATGATTCCCTTACATTAGTATGTGCAGGAAAGCAGAAGGAAGCTGAGAACAGGTCAACGGGAGTGGTTTAGCCAAATCACAACTACGACAGAGATAAGTGAGTAGGTTTTCTAACCTGGGAAATGCTGGTTCCTACCTTGCCAGCTTTAATCCTTACCTCCAGTGAGTTCACATCTTCAGAATGCAGAATAAATGAGATTTTTTTTCAATTGTAAACAATCTATAATCCGACACTTTACCTTCCCCAAGCCAGTTGCCATGGTAGTAACACAGCTTTGATTTCCAGAGCCAGGACAGAATAGAAAATTAAAGATTAAAGTATGTTAGAATAATACTGAAATCATTTAACAATTAAAATCTGGCAAAAGGAATTTGTATTGATGTTTAGGAAATTAAGGTCCAACATGACTGCCAAGGATGTACATTCTTTATCTTAGAGGAAACAAAAGAGATATCTGTTGTGCATGCTTGCTCAATGAATCTTCAGTAGGGTGATAACTGAATGGGTGAACAGAATTTCATGCTGCTGTTCGCATCAGTTTACAATACTCACCCATTGAAACATTAAATAGAAACAGAAATCATCATCCAACAACCAAGTTATTCTCACTTATGAATACCCCATAACCTTTATGAAAAGATACCAAGTTGGTACCAACTTGACTTCTGGAGGGGGCTACAGTGAGGAATACTACGTAGAAGACCCGTATCTTTCTCCCAAAGTTCTCACTTCTCACATCTACGTAGTACCAACATCCAGACAATTAAAAAAATCAGCAAGGAGGGAACATTTGAATAGCCAACCATATAAATGCTACAAAGTGAAGCTGATTTCCCTTTGTAATGCTATCACCTGGTCCTGGAAATTATGACAGGGCACTTATCCTGTCTCCAATCTTCAATCTCTAGAGTTGTTTTGACAAGATACTGTGATTGCTGATATTTGCAGTTTAAAACTCAATACTTCCATGTTACTATAAAAAGGAGGATAGTTTCTAGTAGAAACTTATAGATATCATAATCTATTCTTTAATTTGGCATTCTTCAGATGTTTTGAGATTATATCTTATAATCATCATCATCAATCTCCTTGCTAGCTGGATTTCTGCAAGTTGTAATCCTAATATCCTGAACAGAAATGTTCCAATGATACATTTTGGAATTAAAATTGAAATGAAATAGTTATGCTTGTTCTGAATAAGACATTTTATATTTTAATCATTAATATCACAACTCCTCAGGTGTTAATGTGTATCCCAGGACTTACCAGAAAATGAAAAAAAAGCCTTCATTGATAGCTATCAAATGAATCAAATCTGTTCTGCAACAAGATATTTCATGATTTTTCATTCCAACATGGAAAAAAATCTGATATGTGGTCTGTTGAAAGATTAAATGAATGCATATACTGTGTGTGTGTGTGTGTGTGTGTGTGTGTGTATATGTGTGTGTACATACATACATACATACATACATAGATATAAAGAGATGAAAAAAAATAGCTAACAATGACCTTGAAATGAACCATATGTTAATCCCAGAAGTGTTGATGAGGTTGTAGAGTATGGGTAATGCTCTACTTACAACTGGGTGCTTAGTGACTGTACAAAGTTATGATAGACTCCCCCAAAAACTATTTACAAAGTTTCCAAAGTTATCGCAGCTGCACTCACACACCCTACAGTCACATCATCACATTTTGGGTCCTTGGCAACCGACTCACCTTTCCTGCCATCTGCAATATCCCCCAGTCACAGTATTGCAATTTGCAATGGCTTTTTTTTTTACCGATTTCTGGCAAAAAAGAAAAACACCTATTGAGAAAAATTGATTTGCTTAATGACCATGGCATTCACTTAAAGACTACCAGAAAAAGACGTTTAAAAATTGTGTCATGTGATTCCTCAACTTACCATATTTCTGGCCTCAATGATGGTCTTGGATTGAGGGCTACCTGTATGTTCATATCCCACCACCAGATACTTTCTTCCTTTGTGACAATTCTTAGCATATCTTCACCTATTATGATATAATAAATGAAAAGTAAATAGCAGATTGATGACATGAATAAGTGTCCATGTGCAGCTTATGAACGAACATTTTAATGTTCCATTTCTTTTATGGAATGGGAAACTTTCTTGATTTCAATGGATCATGTTGCAGTGCCTACGTTCACCCACATTTGCTTTTTAGTTCCTAATGATTTTAGTGTCTCTTATCTTCTGCACTTAATTGTAAGTGGCAATGAGAGAGGCCTTTTTCTTCTGAATCATGCAGCCAAGAATATATGGTCATCGGATGGAAACAGTTATCACCAGTAGACGCTGTAATTTCTTACCCTTGTGCAGAATTCATTTTGAGGAAATTGAAAAGTTGGTGCATTGTGTATTTAAAAAATGCGTATCCAAATAAATTAAGTACATTATCCTATGTTCCCACTAAAACTAGTGGGTGTTATTTCCGTGACCCGACAAATGCGCGAACGTCAAAAGCGCGCCGACAAAAGCGCGCCGACAGAAGCGCAATTTAAGTTAAGGTAAGGTTTAGGGTTAGGTTTAGGGTTAGGTTTAGGGTTAGGTTTAGGGTTAGGGTTACAGCGCGCTTCTGTTGGCGCGCTGTTGTTGCCGCGCTTCAGCGCTCATTCGTCGCCGCGGTTTTGTTGGCGCGGTTTAGTCGTTCGCGCATTTGTGGTGGAACCGTTATTTCTGTACAGACACATTTAGAAGTACATTGTAAATAATAATCTTGTTCATATTGTACTTATTGAATCTAGTGTTTATATATTTTTTTTAAAAAGAGGACAATATTCTTAATAATGGAATAAAAAATAATTTTCTTTATACTCCCATCTATAGCTGGTCCATTGGAGTTGCCTCTTTTTGAATTGATACCGTCACAGAAACAGGTGGTTTTTCATGGTGATCGCTTGCCATTTCAGTGTACAGCAACCTACCTCGACATCACGACACAGGTGCATTGGTATCATGACGGCCGCTTGGTTGAAACTGATGAGGAAAGAGGCATGTTTGTGGAGGAGGCCATCATACATGACTGCTGTTTAGTTACGCGGTATGTGTTTTTATTTATGTATTTATATGTGTGTGTTATTTGAGTTTTATGATATGGTTTTAACACTGTGAATATTGGAACTTGACAGGTAAGTTCCCTATCAGTATGTTGATAGAAAAACATTCTCATTTACTTACTTCTTTTCATATTCACACAAAACGAACTCCCCGCAGAGATTCGGACCCTCACCTTTCTCCAGGCCTTCCGAAAAGCCGTTAAAACCTGGCTGTGTCGGCAGGCCTGGGGTCGATGAGTTCCCTTCCCCTCTCGAATCGTGTGGCTGTTGGTTGTTTTAAATTCCCTTGTACTTTTTTGTTGTAGTTCTTTTGTGTTTCCCTTCCCCTCCCTTGGGTTTGTGCGCCGCCCTGAGTCCCGCCGGGAATAGGGCGGCATATAAATAAAATGAACCTTGAACCTTGAACCTTGAAAATATGAAGAAGTCAGTTTCTAACGGACCCAATGCATTCCATACAGGCAAAAACTTTGTTTAATTATTGAAATTTGTTACAGTATTATGTCAATAATATCAAATAAAAACAGTGATGCGTAATCCCACTTGGAGCATCTATTGAAATGAATGTTCCTTGCTGTCTTCAAGCAAAATCAGAAATATGGAAGATGGCAAAGCTGCACTCTGTATTTCTTGCTCATCCTCCGATTGACTCAGATCTCTCCAAATCCAGTTTAAAAGGGAAAATACTGATCTCAGTCTCTATGCTTTCTGTATGTAGAGCAGTGCGTTTAATTAAGGGGTCAACAAAATATGTCCAAGGTTTTGTAAACTGAATATTAAAATACCCCACTGTCAGACTTTATAAATAAGTAATGGAATAGTTCAGTTCTATTATAGAGTAATTCTATAATCCAATTTTGGGCAGGCTGTGCAATAATTTTGCATGAATAACTGTAGGGGAAAGGCAGAATTTTTTCTCACTGAATTATCTTATGTCCGTTATGATGTTGGTTTTGGTTTATATTAATCTAAAGATTTATATTACAGATTAATCTATATTAATCTGGTTTCTAAAGCAGCGATTATGACTCAGATTATCTTGTTAAAATTAGCCCTGGTATTAGAATACTACATGGACTCAGTAGATGCAGGAATCCACTGGTCGCTAGATAAAAAAATTAAATTAAATTAACTAAAAAAAATAGATGAAAATAAAAAGGTAACTTAAAATGTACTTATTTTTCCTTATTGTTTGTTTATTTATACCACTGCACCATTTCTCCGGTAATGGTATTTTGCCTGGAATATTAGTGGATAAAATAAATCAGTTATTTTGTTCTTCACAAATAAATTCATCTCCACATTGCTTACAACTTTTGTAACTGCCTTTTAGCGTTTGCTTTCTGGATGAGATATTTGGGAGATATCTTAAGTTCAGCAGCAATCCCTGTTAATAATTCTCAAAGCCATGTGCATTGGCAGCAGATAACATAAATATGTTAGGGTCCTGAATTATCATGCTTTATAAAGTTTATGTTGAATAATATGATCTCGGAGCTATGAGGAGCTGCCATTTGTGTGTATTTTCTTCATATCGAAGGGCGACTATTATGTTCGGAACATTTTCCAACTGTAGGACACTATAGTAATGAAATGGAGATGCTGAATTATATTCCTTATTCTTTATTATATGGTAATTATGTTTTGTACTCTGCAGAATTGATTTGATGCACGTTTAAGAATGTCAAACATGGAACATGCTTAATATTGCAGGATGTTAACAAGAGAAATCAATTTGTGTAAAAAGATATGCTCCATTCCAGCCTAATCACATTTACAGTAGTCTAATTGAAACCAGTTCTTTTAGGCTTGACTAAGTTAAGCCTTCTGAGAGGGTCGGTGGATCTATTCCAAGATCTTCTGCTAAGATCAGATCGAGATTCAGCTAATGCTGATAATTTAATGGGTTCTGTCATCAACCAGTCCTTAAATTACAGGATTGTTACACTGACCTTAATTCCATTTTTGGAGCTGCACATTTTATTTGTAACGTAAGCCTAAACTACTGAACTGCTGGGTTCCTGTGCAGATCAGGAACAATGTAGGAGGGAATCTTTTTTGACTAACAATTTTTATTCAGTGGCACAAGTTTTATCAGCTGAACCTCATCAGTTGTCATCAGAAGCATAAAGTACAGCAATTCAAATGTATCTTCCCAGGTTGCTCATTTTGTGCTCTCTCCAATATTCCACAATACCGACTACCTTTAGATATGTATTTATTACTCAGTTAAATAATATGATGTTTTATAGTATACTATAATTATTACAATATAATATGACATCATATAAATATATTTTATATTTGTAAATATCTACTATACTGTAATATTAAATCTAAATCTCTATCTCTATCATCTCTATCTCTATCTCTATCTATCTATCTATCTATCTATCTATCTATCTATCTATCTATCTATCTATCTATCTATCTATCTATCTATCTAATATTACTTTATTGTACATATTCTTATTACTCTTTAGACCGCATTATACTGCTCCAGTGTGTGTGTGTGTGGTGTGTGTAAGTGTATATACAGGTAGTCCTCAATGTCCATTCACAATTGAGCCCAGCATAATGTTGCTAAGTGAGAAATTTGTAAAGTTAGTTTTTATGATTTTTCTTGCCACATTTGTTAAGTGATTCACTGCCGTTGTTAAATTAGTAACATCGTCGTTAAGCGAGTCCAGTTTCCCCCATTGACTTTGCTTGTGAGAAGGTTGGAAAAGAGGATCACGGGACCCCCCGAGACCTTGCAGCCTTCGTAAAGTGTCAGTCAGTTGTCAAGCATCCAATTATCGCACGACCATGGGGGGGATACTGCAATGGCCGTAAGTGCGAAAAATGCCCCCTTTTTTCAGTGCCGTTGTAACTTAGAATGGCATGTGGAAGAGACTTTCATCCCGCAGTGGATAGACAGTGGCTACAATGATACATACGTGTGCGTGTGCGTGTGTGTGTGTGAGAGAGAGAGAGAGAGCAGGGGGGAGCGAGAAGTGTTCTGTGATTGGATGTTGTATTGCATTTGGCTTTATGGCTGTAATAAGCAATTGTTGGCGCCTTTATTATGGTGATTACATAAATAAATGTGCTTAAGTTACAATGACTTGGGAACATGTAGGAGAACCAGCTTACTCCTCTCTTGGTATTCCTGTAGCTGGTTTACCCTTATTTGTACTATATATGCGGGCATTTTGGGGTGATAACCAACATTACACTTCAGAATTCTGCTGATTATTTTTAAAGCAATGGGTTATAATTCGTAGTTCAAACTGATGCATTATTATAGTGCTTTTGATATCTGGGAAAAAAAACCACCAATTTAACTCTGTAAACTTCCAATTAGGGAGGTATTTTCAGGTTAATTATAGCTCCATATATAATATAATTTAAGTTTTTCTTTTAGTGTTGTCATAGAAACTAGGGAAGTATTTACTGTAGACTTGATTGTTTAATACGTATAGGCACTTTTTAAAATATTTCCCAATCACCTTAAGATAGAGTCAGTGAAGAGAAATGTTCTCGGGGTTCTGAAGTTTGTGAGGAACATATTAAGTTGTGAGATATTTTTTTTTAAAAAAAATTAATCAATTGGCCACTAGAGGACAGCAAAGAGTAGGTGGGTTCGGTTGCTTTCTTTAATTTCTTTCAGATTTTTAAGACGCTCTTTTTTTCCTACAAAAATATTCCTTTCTCCTCTTATTTTCCATACTGCAACAATCCTAGGAGGTGAATTGGGCTGGGAGAGGGTAATCGATGCAAAGTCACCCAGCTGGTTTTTCATGCCTAAAGTGGGACTCTTGTCAGGTTTCTTGGCTTCTAAGCCTGGAGTCTTCACCAATGCACCCACCTGGCTCTCACTAGAACTTCTTGTTATGCATTCAAAATGTGACCCCTGGATAAAGTTATTGAAGAGATTTGAGTTTAAGAAAATATTTTATTGCAAAGACGGTTCTACCCTTCAAAATACTTGGAAGGTAAAAAGGTTAAAAAAGAATTCCTGAAGCTTGTTTAAACCAGCTTTGGAGCAGATGTACAATACTTACTTTTTCCAGATCTATCAGTTAAAGAGAATGATTATAATTTTGCTCTCTATACTGCGCATACACAAACGCCCACTGCCATCCATTCAAATGGTTTTACATATGCATTTTCAACTCAGCACAATTATACTTGACNCCCCCCCCCCCCCCCCCCCCAGTTCATTGGCAAGTTGGAAAGTATTAAGGTTTGAAAGAATCAAAGCAGTTCCATCCTGATGACAACACAACATAAATATGTCATTTTTTGCTTAAGCATCTTGCCCAGGTACGAATGGTAGAAACTAGTGAACATTATCAAACTGTTCCAAATCTAGAGAAGGTTACCTTATAAGTAACTGATTCACTGCCTCTTTTGAAACCCATGAGATCCTTCCATTACAGCAAACATCTTCATTATTCTCTGGAGTAAACTTACAAGTCTTTCACTGCTTGATGTAATGACTCTAGAGCAGTAAGTGTTGATTTGGCACAAAGAAAACTGTCCTTATTGGCAAACATTCTCCCAATCTCAGAACCTCAAAATTCATTAGATATAGAAAATCAGACAGCTCTGTATACTCCAGTATACTGACTTGAAGTAATTAGTGGCTTGAAGTCACAATTGACACATGCAATTTTATCTTCCATGCTTTCGAAACATTTTACAATAGGCCCCTTGAGCATTCTTTAAATCTCCTCTCCAGCGGCTGCATTCCCTTCAGAAATATTTGCTGCATGGAAACATAAAGATGCTGTAATAACCAACACCCCTCCCTCAAACCAATATCATAATTGCCAAGTGAGTACTAAATACTGGTTCAGTTAAACTCACTCTGGATTCCAACCTGATATAGTGTAACTATCCTTCTAGTTGTTTCATTCTCTCAGTTCCACAAAACATAGAGAAATGTATTAACTACTGTTTGGCAGAAGGTGTTTCATAATAATTATATGAAATCATGGTC